ACTTTCCGGGGTGGTTTTGTGTCGGTATTTTCGGGGTTCTGTCTTTTTTAGGTATTTGGATAAACTTTTATTGGTAAGGGTCTTGGATAACATGTGTAGTGCCCTTGTTCATGGTGATGGTTGCTTGGTGATGATGTTTTCATGGTGATGATCACTAACAGTGCAAAGCGATATGTCACGTTTCGGGCTTCGGGGCTTAACGGTCCAGGGGTTTAGGGCCTACCCTATAGTCGTCCTGAACCCTTCGCCCGGTCGTAGGTTGGCCCAGCAGGGGGCGAGTGCGTGTGCCTGCGACCACGTCCTCCTCCTGCTGTCGTTTCGCTCGTTATGTGTTCGTTTCCTCCAGTGGTTGACTTGAAACTTGAAAATCGCAGCATGAGGCTGCCCGCGAAACAGAACGTCATCAAGCCCCCACCCCCACCCCACCCCTTCCCCCCCCAAAGAGCAAGCAGAGCATATGACGGAAAACGGCACAGACAGAAAAACACAGAAAGTGCAAAGCGCGGGATAACAGCAAACAGGGTTTCCGACAGTCAGGAATACAACACGCAGGCCACGTTTTTCGAGCTTCGGACCAAGTCGCAACCAAAAACGAACGACAAAAACTCACGTGAGTTTTCGTATGTTTTTGCAAGCGAGCGGAAATGAGACAGAACTTTCGGCTACGAAGAGCGCAACATCTGGAAAAGTGCGAAAACCTCGCGCGGTGTTTCCAAATGAGGAAAAACAGCACTGAAAGAGAGGGGCATGCAAAAGCACATAAACAACAGCAAAACCAGCCCGGCAAGTGAACCCGCTAAGCTAAACCCTAAACGCTAAGCCCCAATGAAGGGACTTCCCTGTGTTGGTTCTCAATGAGAAACCTCAAGTTTTAGGGCTTGAGGGTTTAGGGGTAATAGGGCTTTAAAGGTTTGTGGGATAGGGTTAACATTTATGGGGTTTAGGGTTCGTAAAAAGGTTTAGGGGTTTGGGCTGAAGGCTTAAGATATAGGGTTGGTTGTGTCTTTTCTTACAGTTGAAGTGACTCTTTTACGTCTGCGCGAGGGCTTTGTGTCTAGGGTTCAGGGTTTAGGGACCCGACAGCTCTTACAAAATTCGCTTCGAAACCTTTGACACATCACACTTGCGAACCTGGCCCCCTGCTTGCGAGCCTGGCCCCCCTGCTTGCGAGCCTGGCCCCCCTGCTTGCGAGCCTGGCCCCCCTGCTTGCGAGCATGCGCGGCTCAGGGTTTAGGGTTTAGGGCTTAGGGTGAACAGAGGGCGGCTCCCCTCCCCACTGAGCATGGAATGCACCACAGCACAGATATGTGTTCCAGCTTATTTTGTTTCTTTTTAGTCCAGCTGCCGAAATTGCTGCTGTGCGCCGCATTCTTTAAGTAACCACCAAAACTGAGCCCGATACCCGGCATCTCATTCTCAGAATCCGAAGTTCTGATCCTAAAGCCCGTGGCTACAACGCTGAAACTCCAAACACATGCCCCGACCCAGAACCGGACCCCAAAAAAGTCGATCCCTCAAGAAAGTGCCTATCAAGTTCCTTTGCAGTGCATGGTCCCAAACTGAAAGTGGTTCAACTTTTCGCTAAACCCTAGGGTTTAGGGTTTAGGGTTTAGGGTTGTGGTTCAACTTTTCGCTAAACCCTAAACCTTGAACCCTGAACCTGAACGGGTTTAGGGATTAGGGTCTAGGGGTTCGGGTTCTGGAGCCGCGCCTGCGCAGCACTGGGCATGGCTCGAAGGACATTGATTCGTCCGCCGGGAAACTGGCAACCCATGGCCTGTCTTTGGGTTTTTTTTGGGGTTTAGGGTTTAGGGTTTAGGGCTTAGGCTTAGAGGTTTAAGGGTTTAGGGCTTCGGGATTTAAGGGTTTAGGGGTTTAAGGGTTTAGGAGTTTAGGGGCTTAGGGTTAGGGTTCATGGGCTAGCGCGCTAAACCCTCAACCCTGTCTTTGCAAGAAAAATGGCTTTGGGGATTTAGGGTTCCCATTATGAGGCGCTCATAAGGGGTCCTAAAGGGGTTTAGGTTTAGGGGGTGAAGGTTTCTGGGCTCAAGCTAAGGGCTCACAATGTCGTTTGCGTACATCACATATAGCGCTATAAGGCTCAACAACTGCTCGGAAGGGGCTGCAGAGAAAAGCATTCCCTTGCAGCTGTGCTGAGGCGTCTATATAAATACAGCTTGGTGCCGATCGGCCCCAAAAGAGCGGAGGAAGTCAGGGCCTGACCTATCTGAATCCCTGTTCATCATATAGGAGCCCTAATGATTAAAATATGGTTTGTTCGGGGTTTAGGGCTTGATGAGAAGAGTAGGGTTGGGTAGCACATCAGGGGATACAATTACTGACCATTCAGACACCTCTGTTGGCTTGTTGCTTAGCGGAAGCATTATAGGGCTGAGTGAGGGCCCTTTACATATTGGAATATAGGTTGTTTGGGAGGAGGTATGTTCTCGTATACCTCTATCAGCCCTGGAACTAACATCTTCAACCCACACCCTCAACCAAAGTTTAGGATTAAAGGGTTTATAAATAGGGCTTCGAACCAAAGCCACAGCGTAGCTTTTGTTGCTGTACGCCTTCTCCGCTCCTTCAAAAGCAATCCTGGACCAAGGCGAATCCATATAGCGGAAACTGCCTCGGAAGCAACCCGTTGGCCACAAAGACACAAACCGCGGACGGTCATCTGCCCACTTCCTCAAGCTCACTGAATGAAAGTTTTTTTATCCCCTCACATAAGAAATAAGAACACGAAAGACCTTCTCAAACCCCAAACCGTAAACCCAAATCCCTACATACATCTACATGTTAAATACCCTAAAACCGACACTGTACCTTTCCCAAACCGGCACGAGTTTTTCTCGAGAGACCAGCCACCTACACAACTGGGTTAAACCCTAAACCGTAAACCGGACTGGGTTCTGGGTTGAGGGTTTAGGGCTTAGGGCTGTAGAAGTTGCATCTTTGCAAGGAAATCTCGTCGGCCTGAATGTCCGACCGCGTGGAGTCCTCCAGATGGGGACTAGACAACTAGACAACGAGGCTGTAGGGTTTATGGCCAGTTTGTGGCTTTTAGGCTTGCAGCCCTGAAAACTTACCAATATCATTCTTAGGGCTCCTTATTAAAACTAAATTGTACTATAAAGGAACCCCCAACCCTATTCTAATTATTAGGCATTTATAATGGTAAGGAGGGGTGTTGGGGTTCTATCGAGTTTTGTAATGTACCTAGTACCCAAACCACCAAAAGTAGGCAAAACCATGGCCCAACACCTTTAAACGGCTCTTATTCTACATACTTTGGGCCTTCCAATGGTCCAGGCAGGGTGAGTTCCTGGTTTAGGGTTTTGGTGCGTTGTAGGTACTGACAAACAGTTTAAACACCTCGAAAACCAGGACCTCCCGAAGTCTACCTTGACCCTGAACTTTAAGCCCTCATGGTTTAGGGTCTAGGGTTGAGGGTTTAAGGGTTTTGGGTTTAGGGTTCATCCCTAAGCCCGAAGCCCAAAACCCTGCTAATGTACGGGCCTTAAAAATTAGAATTGGGTTTTGGGGCCCATTGAACTATAAAACCATAATAAGGAACCCCCAAAATAGTGTTGGTAATTATTTAGGCCCCTATACTACGTAAACCTGAAACCTAAACCCTTCTCACCACGTCTTTTGAACCTCTGCATAGGGCTTGGGATATAGGGGGCCTTAATGTCAGAGTACGGTTTTTACAGGGCGTCCGTAGGGTTTTGGTGCGCATTTTAGTTTAGGGGTTTCTATCTTGGCTCTAGGGGTTTAGGAATTATAGGCCTTCAGAGATTAGAGGTTTCAGGAACATATTACACTATGGATAAGTATGGTCGTGTATGTTGTAGAGACCAGAAGGGGAGATGTTATAGTACGGAGTTTAGCAGCTAGGGCTTGAGGCTTTAGGTTTAGATTCTTCGAGTTTAGGGTTTACGGTTTAGGGTGTTTAGGGTTTATGGCTGAGGGTTCGTTGGAAGTAGTGAATTTCGAACACCAGCAGGCCCGAATTTATCACATTGGGTGCGGGGTCTGGGGCTTGTATCGTTCAGGGTTTGGGCGTGCAATGGGCCCGGTTTAAAGAACGTTTAGGTGTGGCCCTTCTTGTTCAGGGTTTCTGGTCATAGTTGGAGGGGAATCAGAGACTGCCAGCCCAAGTTTCGATCGGTCGGTGCTTAGGTCCAGAGTTCGGAGCGTTTGCCGGGGTTTGGGGCTCGAGCTAAGCTAATTCACAACGGCACAGTACGAAACAAAAAAAAAAGCGTCTCGTCGCAGAAACAGCCTTCGAAGCTGGAGTTGGAGCTAGGCCAAGAAGTCATAGAAGCAGACATGTCTTGCAAAAAGCCGACAACGCGGAGGAAACGCCCCCTGAAACACTGACTCCGACACTGATTACCCAGAGGCTCCAAAACTCCAGTAATTAAGGAGTATACCTTAAATCATATTAGGGATCCTATTATAATTTAATGTACCCTAAACCCTAAACCCTAAACCCATGAAGGGGTATTGGAGTCTTAATTCAGGGGTTTTGGAGTCTCTGGGTACTAAGACTTGGCTAATTCGGACTCGGCTCGACACGACTGGTCAGATGAATAGGGCCAGTACGAAGAACGTGCAACATGAGTATACCCTAAACCCTGGCCGTTGGCATGGGTTCGGGTTTAGGGTTTATAGGGTTTAGGGTTTAGGGTTTGGGGTTTAGGACTGGCATGTAAATCTATCTCCTCCAGGCCATGTGAGCACACAGCGCCCATCTGCGTCCTATGGAGGGGAAGAACCGGTTTCGGCTTGCTAACAGAACGGCCTTGAGATGTGCAAACGGTTAGAGCCAAGGATTTAGGGGTGTTTCTGCCGCAGAAGCTTTTGGGGACTATAATTGGAAATGCCCGTACTACATGCCAAGTATTTGGATCTCGGTATTATCGAGTTTCGCCTTGGTGTTGCTGCGGGGCGAGATCTAGAGCCACCCGGTTCAGAAGCATGGCCACCCTAAACCCTAAACCCTAAACTCTAAACCCTAAACCCTAAACTCTAATTCCTAAAGCCTTTACAAAACCCCAGGCACTCAACCCTAGCAGCCAAAGCCGAAAACTAAACTTCTGCTTGATAAGCCCCGTAAGTAAGACCTAAACAATAAACCCTTAAGCCTATAAGTGTTTAGGGTTTAGGGTTTAGGGTTTAGGGCCCTAAACCCTAAACCCTAAAACCCTAAACCCTAAACCCAAAGCCCTAAACGGCCCTAAACCCTAAACCCTAAACGACCGTAAACCCTAAACGGCCCTAAACCCTAAATCTAACCGTCCGCGAAACCTGTGGCCCTTGGATGCCGTCGGCGACAACCCTCTGCACTTCGCAGCACTGAGCAAACCCAGAGGGTCCATATACACTACCATTTAGGGTTTAGGGTTTAGGGTTTAAGGTTGAGGGTTTAGGGTTTAAGGTTTGGGGTTTAGGGTTTAGGGTCTTGCCGTATTACCCAGAGGATCCATAGACACTACCATTATGGAATTCGGTCCCAAAAGACCATCCCTACATGGTTTTGGGAGCCTAGCTCCATAATCGTAGTATGTATATGGACCCTCTTGGAAACATGTAGCCCATAAACGGCGGGTTAGCACGGATCTTCCGCTTTGCATCGGAAACAGGTGTGTCTACCGAGTGGGAGGTGGTCCACAACTTTAGCAAAAGTTATCATCAGGACTGCAAAAAGATAGTATTGGTAATTATGTAGGCCCCTTTTTTTAGGGCCATGTCGTGTCCGCGATGAGCCAGCACACGCCCGGGGGTTTAGGGTAAGTCTAGGGTTCAGCTTTAAGGTTTAGGGTTTAGGGATATTCAGTCCTGCTCAGGTGTCAACCTCTCTGCACCAGAAACCAACCAGCCCTCCACGGCAAACACGAAACCCTCCAGCAAAAGCCGGAAAGCCACCAACCTGAATCCCAACATCTAAACCGCGTAACCCTCCGTCCCGCACCCGAAACAAGCCTTGAACTCTCCACCCGATTCCTTGAACCGCACGGTACAAAAACCCAGCCCAGTCCCAACGAAGAGAGTCTTGTCATGAAAAGCCAATGCTGTCGCCTCAGGTGATAGGCTGCTTTTCGGCTTAGAACGACCATCGTATCATATGGGATCTGGAGGGTCTTATGAGTGCTTGTTTCTTGCCTGCTAGTTCGGATCCACGGGTGTGTTTTCGAGCCGTGAAAATTCAAAATGAGGCCATGTCTCATGGAGGAGCCTTGATGTTTAGACTCCTTCAGACTAGCCTTGGAAGGGTTCTACAACTGTTTTATGAAGTTCTTTTCCTTCAAGCAATTGAGTGTTGGAATAGCCCTAAACCCTAAACCCTAAACCCTAAACCCTAAACCCTAAACCCTATAACTATAACAGGGAACCCTGGGGGCAGTGTTGGCAATGATTAAGGCCTCTACATTCGCAATTACATCGCCATATGTCCTTGCACAAGTATAATGGCTCTACCCCACATACTCAACACTACCTCAAAGCCATCCTCTAACTATTGACCTCAACTTTTTGCGGCTTCCCCATTCAGCCTTGACTTACGAAATATGCCTTCAAGCCCAACTGGCTAAACAGGATAACCTATAACTGTGCCGCTGCTACGCGTCTTCGTCACGTTGTATTGTACTTATATTGAACCCCAGAATTGAAAGTTGGAAACCCTAAACACCAAACTGAAAAAAAACGGATTTATTAGGGTTTAGGGTTTAGGGTTTAGCGAACCCTAAACCCTAAACCCTAAACCGGATTTAGGATGATTTGTGCCAGGATCCCTTATGCTTTACCTTAGGGGCATCCTGGATCCTGAAGAACCAGCCTTTTATAAGGGCGTAGGTATAGAAATCATAAGAAGGAACCCCAAAAAAGGCAGAGGGTTTAGGGTTTAGGGTTTAGGGTGCTTAATGTAAAGAAACCATAATACGGAACCCTAAAACTTGAAAAGGCAGGTTCTTTGGGGTTCCAAGGTTTAGAGTTTACGGTTCCCTAAACCCTAGCAGATGAGCGGCAAATTGCCCAGATGGCAAGGAGATGACGCGCACCGCCTTTCCAGAAAAGTCCCCCTTCTCCACGAACCGGATGGTCGAGCCTTTAGGGTTCTTGTCGACTATACCTTTAGTCTCCATTGTAGTTCCTTTTTTGGTTTAGCCAGTTTTCTATTAAGGATTTTATAAGGTATCCCCGAAAAGACTATAGGTAAACCCTAAACCCTAAACCCTAAACCCTAAACCCTAAACCCTAAACCCTAAACTGTTGGGGCTTCAGAGTTCGAGTTTAGGCTCAGGCAGCTTTGTATTGGCATCCCTGACTCTCAACATTGTCTCATGCTAGGGTTTGGCGTTTGGGGTTTAGGGTTAGGGTTAGGACTCTGCCAACAGCGAAAGAGCCTAAAACACGTTCAGTACTTAGCCCCTAAACCCTGAGCCGTTTAGTCTTTAAGGTTCGGGGTTTCGGGGCGGGGCAGATCCTGGTACTAACGGGGCATGGCTCAACAGTACAACTGAGACTCAGAACTCAGCTCAAAAAGATGCCACAGTATCCTATGACGGTTGAGGGTTCAGGGTCTAGGGTCTGTTCTGGGTTTGGGGTTTTGGGATTTCTTTTGGCTTTGGGGTATCCTACGCAACTGAATCCCTGCTCCAATACAGGCATGAGGTCCCATGAGTCCAAGGATCCGGAGACTGCTCATGGGGTTGTGGGTAGTTTAGGGTTTACGGTTTAGGGCTATATGGGATTTAGGGTTTAGGGTTTAGGGTTTAGGTTTAGGGTTTTAGGGTTTGGGGTTTTAGGCCTTAGGGTTTTAGGGTTTACGGTTTAGGGGTATATGGGAATATGCTTAACCGATCGCGGCTATCAAGGACTGGTGCACGGTAGTCTCCCTCAAACGGGCTAGCATTGCAATTATAGGGATGCCAAACTTATGGCCCTAAAAACGTTGGTCTACATGTAAATTAACAAGACCCTGAATACAAAAGAACTTATAAGCACCCTGAGCACAGCAAAACCTTCCAACACGTAAAAGCCATAAAACACTGAACAGCAATACAGACTTTGAAACCATAAAACCCTGAAGCGATTGTAAGAAAAAACCGCAAAGCCATGTTGGCAACGGTTGCGCCCTTCGCAACCAGCCCGAAATCCTAATTGAACCCTCAATCCGAAACCCTAAACCCCGAACCCCAACCCTAGACCCTGAACCCTAAACCCCTAAACCCCAAATCCTAAACCCTAAATCCTGAATCCCGAACCCTAACTCTCAATTTAGCCAATCTCCGCCTTCGCAGCCGGCCGCCATTTGTTGGAAAGCCTCCGCGATCGCCAAAGAAGACAGCTTGCCTCAGCAAGAGCCACAAGACCCCCCCAATACACCTTATGTGATGACAAATAGCATATTGATACGAAGAATGATCATGGTGATACGAAGAATGATCATGGGAATCATCATGCAATACTACCATATAAGAACAACAATAGACTTTGGGTAATAGGACTTTTGGTAAAAAGAACCATATATCCACTCAACCAGTCCCCCGAAGTTTCCGTTTATATTTTTGTTGAGGGGTGTTGTGCTCTCTATGAGGATGTGGGAAAGGGTTTGGGTGCATTTATTTAAAAAGGTTGTACAGGAGCCGCTTGGCTTCTCAAGGATTGTATAGTAGTGGGGCCTTATGAAAAATGAATCTGTGGCATATTAGTGTAAATATGTAGAGCCCTCACGAATAAAGTTTGTAACTATGCAGCATTATATTTTCAGTTTCCAGAACTGGTGGCAACCTGGGCTGAAGCTCATACGTTCAAACTGCCAGATGTATTCAACCGAGAAGGCACCTGCTGCTCCCTGTGTTAAGTTTTTAACAACACCCATTTCCGAAGACTGACCAAGAACTTTGCCCCAGCCGCATTTTCACCCTCGACAAGCCAGATGCACACCGCAGCCCGTAGCAACAAGACGGCTAAGCCTATAGCCAGGGATCAGCTTCAAACCCTAAACCCTAAACCCTTTAGCCAGGGTAAAACCCTAGCCCTGGACACTCAAGGCAGGAAGTTTGGGGTTCAGGGCAAGGTGGCTTGGTACGGGTTCAAGGAGGTTCTGCAGGTTCAAAAGGCCCGCAACATTACGAGGGATCATTTTCATGATTTACAATCTGTCCCTTAGATGTGTAGGCTATCCTCTTTTTATGATTAAGGTATGTTCCTTCTTTCTTGAGGGGATGCTTCTTACAATCTAAGATATGAACCCCAAATCCTAAACCCCATACCCTAAACCCTAAACCCCAAACCCCTACATCCTAACACCCTAAGCCCCAAACCCTGAACTCTAAACCCTAAACCCTCAGATATGTTCCTTCATCCCTAAACCCCAAACCCTACTGTAGGGGCCTTAATATTTGGGGGGTTTCTTGATTATGATCATAGTATAATAATATACCCCAAACCCTATTCTAATCATTGAGGCCCCTATGTTTACACCCTAAACCCTAAACCCTAAAACCTAAACCCAAAAACCTAAACCCTAAACCCTAAAACCCTGAACCCTAAATCAAAACCGAAACACCTAAAACCTAAACCCTAAACCCTAAAACCTAAACCCTAAACCCTAAACCCTAAACTGCCTAAACCTTAAACCCCAAACCCCTAAAACCTAAACCCTAAACCCTAAAACCCTGAACCCTAAACCCTAAACCCTAATCCCGCAGCTCCTAGTCGGCGCTCAAGAACCAGGGACCCGGCATTCGTCCAGGTGATAGACACCTCCAAGGTTGCCCTAAGGGTCCATGTACCCAAATAGAGATACTTTGGCCTTAAAGTAGTCCCTATATAGGTACTTTGGGGCCAATGTATATCCTATATGAGTACATGGACCCTTAGGGTTGGTCACAGGGTGCTGAGATTAGGGTTTAGGGTTTGGGGTTTAGGGTTTAGGGTTTAGGGTTTAGGGTTTGGGGTTTAGGGTTTGGGGCTTAGGGTTTAGGGCTTTAGTTTTTGGGTTTGGCGCTTAGGGTTTGGGGTTTGGGGTTTGGGGCTTGGACACAGCCCAGAGGATCCTAGGTGCAAGTGTGGGGGTTCATAAGGCCTGATATAGAAACCCAACTTTCTACCATATAGGACCCTAAACCCTGAACCCTAAACCCTATACCCTAAACCCTAAACCCTAAACCCTAAACCCTAAACCCTATACCCTAAACTCTAAAACCCTGAACCCTAAACCCTAAACCCTAAACCCTAAACCCTAAACCCTAAACCCTAATATAGGTACTTAGGACGCTTTGGGAGGCGGCCCCCAGGAGGCCGGCTCAGGCAGCTCTTCGATGACATCGCCGGCTCCCGGCTCTGGGACTTCAGAGTCAGCAGTGGGTTAGGGTTTAGGGTTTAGGGTTTAGGGTTTAGGGTTTAGGGTTTAGGGTTTAGGTGTTTAGGGTTTGATTTAGGGTTCAGGGTTTTAGGGTTTAGGGTTTAGGGTTTAGGGTTTAGGATTCATGGTTTTGGGGTTTAGGAGGAATCCCAGCCGAAAACCAAAAGAACAATTCAGGATGTGGGTGGTTTTCTAAATTAGGGTCCCCTTTTAGGGTCCTTCTTATAAGGGTGCCGTTCAATTATGGAGGCATAAGAAGGGAGCCTAATTTAGAGAACTACCCATGTACATGGGTGTACCATAACCCCATGAAACTTGCATTTTCAGACTTAGTGTAGGGAAATATCATGATGAGGAGCCCTTGCAAACAAAAGATTTGTATTAAAGGGCACAGGCAGGAATCCCAGGTGAAGGCTCCAGCCTTTTCAGGCTTTCAGGCTTGAAGTTTTGAGCTTAAGGCTTAGGGCTTCTAGATGCTCCTACGGCTGAGGGCTTAGGTCTCTAGGGCTCCTGGGGTTTAGTGAGTTTGAGGTTTAGGGGTTGCAAATTTCAGGAAACGGGGTATCTGAAGCAGGGGTCTTCGTTTGCATTAAGGATCTTACTGTATAGGTTTACAGTATGGCCCCGTACTTTCCGAAACCCCATCATGAGCTTGACCCGGTGTAATAAACCTCTGCAGTTTCGGAATTATTGTAGGGATTCCGATAGAACGGAGCCTGCACCATAAACCCTAAACCCTACTTTTGATGATATAAATCCTGCATCACCCTAAGGACCCTAATCTATGGGAATTACGGTATATTCCTCATTATGGGTAATGCAGGATTTATCTCATCAGCCCTACATAGAAGGGAGCCTCAACCCCGAACACCCCCAGCCCTGAACCCGAAACCCTACGGTAGATGCACAAAAGTTGGAAACTCAAAAGCCTCAATCCTTAAGGGTAACCCTAAACCCTAAACCCTAAACCCTAAACCCTAAACCCTAAACCCTAAACCCTAAACCCTAAACCCTAAACCCTAAACCCAAACCGAACCCGGTTTCCAACCTTTTGGGGCTTACTCTAGGCTGCAAACCCGACGCTGGAGCCTTCCAGCTGCATCTGCCGCTGTTGCAGATTGTACCACCAGGAGCCTACTTGTCCAGGGTTTACTAAACCCTAAACCCTAAGCCCCAAACCCTAAACCCTAAACCCCAAACCCTAAACCCTAAACCCGGGCAGGGCCGGTGTCAGCAAAAAACAGCGTTGGCAAAGTCGGGAAACAGCACAGAAGGAAGTCAAAATCAGCGGAGGCGGGTTCAGCAAACACCTAGCATCGGCTTAAGGTGTAATGAGGGATAAAGGGCTTGGGGTTTTAAGGGCTTTGCGTTTCGGTCTTTGGGTTTGGGGTTTAAGGCGCAGGTCCTGAGACATTCAAGCCAGTTTTATTGTTGCCGATGGCTACTTCTATCCCTGCTCATGCATTGCTGGCTTCATACATGCTGCCGTCAGATTTCTCTGAGCCGCGAAAAGGCGGTATATTTTGAATCCACTGTTTTGGCACTGTCTAATCAGAAGAACACTCCTGAAACCCTTAACCCGAAACTCTATTTGCTCAAGCGCTTCATCCAGCCTGCCTCTCAGCAGGTTTACCTAAACCCTGAACCCTATAACCCTAAACCTTACATACTAGAGGGGGCAGGCACCATCGGTACAGAAGTCTCTTCTAGATCATCCCAATGAAACCCGAAGTCACAATATCCCTGCGAGATTTAGAGTTTAGGGCTTAGGGTTGTGTGCCTTATTCTATTGTATTTCTTGCCCTGTTGGCTGGATTGAAGATGTTGGCTCCCTTCTCCGCCAGGCCTTGGTAAACTGCACGCTGCCACGGCATGCGCCACTGCTGAACGACGGCTTGGGACGAGTCTGCCTCTTGAGATCAGGGAGACTGTAAGGTCTACATTTTTGGATGTAAGGTTTTAGAGTTTAGTGGCCGTGGACTCAAGGCATACTCTGGATTCCTGGTTAGGATGCACGGCTTGGGGCTTGTAGGTTTAGGCGTCAGGGTAATCCAAGCTGCCCGCGATGCCACTCCTTACCGGCCCAAGCCCACAAGCAATCCTAGGGTCCTCGAGAAAGCCGAGACTCTTCATGAAACACGGAACCCTAAACCCTGAACCCTGAAAGGTTTAGGGTTTACGGTTCAGGGGTTTAGGGTTTAGGCTTCTTGGAGGGTCGGGGGACTTAGTAAATGGTTGTTTTTATAGGCTTATAAGTACTATAACCCCAATTAGGGTCCCTTTTAGGGTACTTATAAGTCTACTTATTACCTACTTACTAAGTCTCCCGACCCTCCAAGTTTGGATCCAGAGACAGGAAATAATCTGCAGCCGAGCTGCTACCTGCTCGCTGTTACCACCTGCAGGCAAGCCAGTGAAAAACCCCCTTGCAGTCCCAATGCAGTCAGATGAACAAACCCCCAAACCCGACTCCACCCTAAACCCTAAAACCTGCAACCTGAACCCTGAAACCCTGTTCCAATTCCTAAGGCGCCTGTCTTCTATTGCACCTTCAGGCTAGAGCGTCAGAACTTGTGTCAGTAAAAGCTTCCAACTTGGTATATGGGGGTTTCCGACTTATGATAAGGACCCCAACATAAGGTACCCCTTCTCTTCGGAAACTCCCATATGTCCCGTATGATGCTGTTTGCTCGTTGATGGAAGCTAAGACTTTAGAAGCTTAAGGTTTAGGGTTTAGGGTTTAGGGCTCCCAGCATTGCATGATCCTTATCACCAATACCGCAAATCGGAAAACGTAGTTCCAATACCCTAAACCCTACAGAAACGGCTACCGTGCAGCCTGCGTCAGAAAAGGCTAAAGGATTACCGCGGGGAGCGTTACTAACCCCTAAACCCTAAACCCCTAAACCTCAAATACCCCTAAACCCTAAACCCTGACCCCTAAACCCTAAACCCTAAACCCTAAACCCCTAAACCCTAAACCCCTAAACCCAAATACGCCTAAACCCTAAACCCTACTGCATAATGAGAAACCCTGCCAGGATCCTCGGTAGGCTAAGAACAACAAAAAGGACTCCCTTCTGGGTATTGTATATGTTCTTTCAGGAACCTCAGACCACAAAAAAGGAAGGGGCCCACTGGACCCTCAACCCTACACCCCAAGTAGAGTTCGGGTTCCGGGCTTCAGCTGCGAATTCGGATTTTTGCAGGGCGCAAGCTCAGGAAGCAGGGTTGATCTAAGGATTTGGGGTGCCTGGCTTCAGCATTCGGGGTTTCACGAGAAGGGTCAGGGGGTTCAGTTCAGAAAACAAGAGACCCGAAGATCAGTCAATCAATCCAGCAAGCAATCAATCAATTGATCAACACACCCACCAACCAACCAACCAACCAATTGAGCTAGAATCTGTGTGTATGGCATGCATAACGACAGAATCAATCAAACAATCACTCAAACAATCATATTTCGATGTATATATGTATTTATATTCTGGGTTATGTAACCAACTAGTTATGTTTCCACGTCTTTTCTCCTACGTTGAAATATCCAGGTAGCGATTTACTTACTTATTCCCTAGTTTCCTGATAACTGAAAACGAGCCCTTGCTCTGAGGGCGGGTAAATACGGAACCCCCTCCAAGCTTATCACACACACAACAGAACTTTATCTAAACCCAAAATATATAGACTAACATCTAGGGAACCCTAAACCCTAAAACCTAAAACCAAAACCCCAAGCAACCCGAGACTCGACCCAACATCTTACCCCTAAACTAAACCCTTAAACCCTCAAGCCTAAGCCTAAGGTTAGAAGTATGGGCCCTAATATGAACCCCTAGGCCTTTCGAGGCCTTTCTAGGGGACCCTTAGGGGTACATATAGGGTATATAGGGCCCATACTAGGGGCCATGGTTTCAACCTTAGACTAAACCTAACATAAGCGTCTTAATCATTAGAATAGGGTTTTGGGTATAGTATACTATAACTATAATAATAAGGAGCCCCCAAAATGAAATTTGTAATTATTGAGGCCCCTATACTACCCTAAACCAAAACCTGAAACCCTAAACCCAACACCCTAAACCCCGAATCCCAAACCCCTGAACCCCTAAACCCCTAAACCCCTAAACCCCGAAACCCTAAACCCTGAACCCTGAACCCCTAAACCCCTAAACTACTACCGAAGTCAGGCCGGGGAGCCTACAAGGACCGAGTCCGTGCCAGGAAAGTGCACCAAGTCGACCAGAGAGATGTTCGTATGCCTTAGGGTTTAGGGTTTAGGGTTCTGGGCTTAGGGTTCAGGGCTTAGGGTTTAGGGTTTAGGGTTCTGGGATTTAGAGGTTAAGGGTTTAGGGGTTTAGGGGTTTAGGGCCCAGGGGTTTAGGATTTCAGGCACCTTTGATCCCAACCAACAGCCCTAAACCCTAAACCCAAACCCCCAAACCCTACTAAACCCGGTACGAAATCCCACTGAACCCTAAGCTGAACCCTTTAGAATCAACTCCAGGGAGCCCCTGATAGTGGACCCCACACAGTTGGAACATGGATTTAGGATGATTTGTGCTGGGTTTCCCGCTGCTTTACCTCGAGGGCATGAGAGCAATGCATGTTCCAACTTTCGGGTTTCTAGTACTGTAAGGGTTTAGGGTTTAGGGTTTAGGGTTTAGGGTTTAGGGTTTAGGGTTTAGGGTTTAGGGTTTAGGGTTTAGGGTTTAGGGTTTAGGGTACTGTAAGCCCTTAACCCTAAACCCTAAACCCCAACCTTTGACATGACCAGACCCTACGAAACCCTAAGCTACACACTAAACTTGACAATTACACCAAGGGTCAGGGTTTGGGGTTTAGGATTCAGGGTGTAGGATTTAGGGTTGAGAGAGACACTGTCGAGTTAACCTTGGCAATGAGAGTGAGACTTTGGGTAGGGTATACTGGAACTTCAAATTCCGGGATCTCGCCCGATTTAGCCCTATTGTTGATTAGTCAGGCTTGTATGCTAACCTCTAAACTCTTGACGCAAGACCTTCAGACTTGAAAGGATGTTAAGCCCTAAACCCTAGACCGCACACCCGAAACCCGTGAACCCTAAATCCCTAAATCCCAAAGCCCCTAAAACCCAAAGCCCCTACACCCTAAACCCTAAACCCCTAAACCCCTAAACCCCTAAACCCCTAAACCTCTCAATCCCTAAACCCTAAACCCAGCACCCAAACACGAGCTTCGGGTTCGGTGCAGGGGTGTTTGCCGTGAGGGTCTAGGTTTAGGAGCTTATGGGCTTATGGCTTAGGGTCTAGAGTTTAGGGTTTAGGGTTTAGGGTTTAGAGTTTAGGGTTTAGGGGTTTAGGGGTTTAGGGGTTTAGGGTCCAGGGGTTTGGTTTGGAGCTTGTGAGCAGCCACAAACCCGGAACCGTAAAGCCGTCTTCGACAAACCCTAAACTTAAGGCGGCCTCGCGCTTGATAACTCTAAAAATCTATGAAAACTACAAACAACAAAACTGAACAATTAAAAAACACAGCTTGATAATCTAATAGTCTTTGAAAACTACAAACAACAAAACTGAACAATTAAAAAAACACGGCGGACTTATAATCAACATCAGATCCCATGACCGACCCAGGCCATGAGAAAAACACCAGACACAAATCCCCCACCCCCTGAACCCTAAGCCTTAAAGCCCTAATCCCTAAACCCCTAAACCCCTAAACCCTAAACCCTAAACCCCTAAACCCTAAACCCCTAAACCCCAAAGCCCCTGAACCCTAAACCCTAAACCCAAAGCCTTAAAGCCCTAACGACCTGGCCCACACGCAGCAAACCTCCAAGGCACGCTTCCGTCACGGGCACGGTCATACGCCCGCGGACATCCCATCTGGCATCGCGTCGGAGCTTTTTCAACTGCTTTGGGTGTAGGGTTTAGAGTTTAGGGTTTAGGGTTTAGGGGTTTAGGGTTTAGGGTTTAGGGTTTAGGGTTTAGGGTTTAGGGTTCTGAGGTTAAGAGGCCGAGCGCAAGACTGAGATGCCCTGAGTTCTAAGGCCTATAGGGTTTAGGGTTTAGGGTTTAGGGGTTTAGGGGTTTAGGGGTTTAGGGGTTTAGGGTTTAGGGTTTAGGTCTCCAATATTTGGAAAATATGGCTTGCGGGGGTCGGGGGGTAGAGGGGGGGTACACCACAGCTCATCAACAACCCCAAAACCTTAAACCCATCTTGAAGTGGGTGGCATCCAACTCATGATCCTTGGTTGTAAACTCCTGTGCTTGCTCGCGCGAAAACTCTTATTGGGTAATGGACATTCCTATTTAGGGTACCTCCAACCACTTCATTTTGTGGGTATCGGGCGGCAATTAGCCAACGGATTGTAGGGAAGATAAGCCATCCTCGCGTAGGCCCTACCTTAACCTACCAAAACCTACTTCTTGGTAGGGACCAGGGTTAACAACAAGAGCCTACGAAAAACCCAGAAACCTTAAAACCCCAAAAACCTCAAACCCTACACCCTACTCCGAAGCCGTATAGAGCTAAGCCATAGCTTCAAAAACACTTGCACTGCTTGCAATGCCCGTAGAAGGAGAACCCTAAACCCTAAACCCCTCAACCCTAAATCCTCAACGTCAACAGGGGCTTAGTCTTAGTCTTCTCCAAGCTTACTCCACCAATCGCCCAAAGCAGCCGAGAGGCAACGACAACATGTGAGGACTTTCGTAGTGGGCATCAAGCCTCAGACAAGAAAAGCCCTAAATGCCTTAAATCCTAAACCACGAAACCCTAAACCCCTAAACCCCTGAACCCCTAACCCTAAACCCCTAAAACTTTTAAAACCCTAAACCCCTAAACCCTAAACTGCCTGGACCCTGGAAACCTCCAGCCCTCTGGCATCCGGCAACTCTGCGCACCCGCTGTACCCTAAAGCCTACCCTAAGCTACCATAACCGATGGACTGTTTTGTAGGTTCCTATTATATAACCTTATATGGAATTTAGTTTTGTAGGTTCCTATTTTAAAACCTTATATGGAATTTAGTTTTGTAGGTTCCTATTATAAACCCTTATATGGAATTTAGAGCGCTAGCAAAAGAGGTAGGTGGTGGTGGGTTCAGGTAAAACGAAACAACATACACCCACTGTACAGGGCCTGAGTTTCTGACTGCCCCGGCTTGACGAGGAAGCGAAAAAGCCCTCAAAGAACTCAGAACCTAGTTTAGGGCTTAGGGGTAAGGGGTTAGGGGTTTAGGGGTTAAGGGGTTAAGGGTTTAGGTTTTAGGGGTTTTAGGGTTTAGGGTTTAGGGATATTTCGGGCTTTGAGACTTGCCATTAAGTTCTTGGGATCGAAAAGTCCTAAGTGACACTGTTCGGGTTTAGGGTTTAGGGCTGAGGGGGGGGGGTCTTTATTTCGTCCATTATAGGGCCTACGGTGTAGGACGTGGGGTTTTGAGACTGTAGTGCCATCGTGACATGTTGCGGCTTTGTGGCGTTGTTTCGAAGCCTCTACCCCAGGGTAGTCCCTATATAGATGTACTAGGCACACCTGCTCCAGTTAGCAATTAAACCCTGGACCCTGAATCCAGGGTTTAGGGTTGAGAGTCTCACGGGCTTCCAGCAAGAAGCAAAAAGAAGCCATTTGGTGAGGCCACCAGCGGTCCTGGACGGTGTTGTGCTACTGTACGGTTCAGAGTTTAGGCGTTCAGGGTTTAGCGGTTCAGAGTTTGGGGCTTAGAAAAACAAACGACAAAATCCCAACAAAATGTTTAACACTCCCCAAATGGCCCGAAGTTACAGGCAATAAGTTAGACCGTGGAGGCAAAATGTATGTCTTGCTACGATACATTATGGCATAGTGTGGTACGTCCTGGTCCAAGCTGCCAAAGACGAAAAACCTACACTCTCCGAAATCAGAGACACGAAATATGACGATACACCCGCATCACGCCTAAACCCCAAACCCTAAATGCCGAAACCCCAAACCCCGAAACCCTAAACCCCTAACCCTAAACCCCAAACCCCTAAGCCACTAAACCCTAAACCCTAAACCACTAAACCCTAAACCACTAAACCCCAAACCCTAAATCCCTAAACCCGTAAACTCTAAACCCCAAAGTCCAAATGCTAAATGTTTAGATTGCCAAATGTTCGGGCGCACCCCCACCAACTCCCAAGTCGAAGAGGATTTGACACATTTGCCTGCGCTTAGATTGAAGGAGAAAGGCGGAGCGGGTTTAGGGGTTAGGGTTTAAAGGTTTGGGGTTTAAGACGGTTTAATTGTTTAGGGTTTAGGGGCTTAAGGGTTTCGGGTTTCGGGTTTAGGGTTTCGGGTTTGGGGTTTAGGGTTTAGGGGTTTCGGGTTTCGGGTTTAGGGTTTAGGGTTGGGGTTATAGGGCTTGCATGGTCTAGGT